ATATATCTAATGGGACTTTCATGTGGATTTGGCTTTCTCAATAAATTCATGTGGCTTCTGTATGTCAAGCAGTTAAGCACTCCATCAGACCCATGCGGCTTGACGGATTAGGACATCACATAGGACATCGCATCGATGACAATTGATTGGATGGGGGTGAGGGAGGACGATATCCTTTTTTTAAGTTTGTTGCGGTAACGATCTGATAAAGTGGGTCGTAAAAATGTTCTCCCATAAACAAATGCAGCTGCCAACTTCACAAAAAATATATACCCCAGGGAGAAAAGGGAAAACAAATAAGAACAGTTTGATGGACAATGCAAATTCATTCCGGGGTGGCTGTACATTTATTCCATCCGCACAGATGTGCTTCCACGTTGTTTCCATCACCGTTTTGATGGCCTCTCCATAGAGTGCTCAACTAATAAAGATTCTTTCTCGAGTGTTAAAAAATATCACGTGTTGAGGATAAAATGCGTTTATGGGAGAATACAAAAAAAAAGATATGGAATGGTCCAACTTGTCATGCGGAGCGTGAAAGCCAACTACAAAGTGTTTATGACTGCCTCCTTTTTATAGGCCAACCTCAGCCGGGGATCGTCCTAAGCCAACTATTATAAATAAATCATCATTTGCTGAACGCGCGGCACATACACCCCCATGCCCTATGTACATATATATTTGATGGGGCCTATTACTTTTGGGCGTTGTTTGGCTATTTCGACTGCAGTTTTCGGCCAAATTGTTGGGGCTTTAATTAAATCAACGTCAAAACGAGAACTCCGTGTACAGTCCAGAGGCAGGAAGTCAGAGCAGAAGACATACATTGACATAAAACTTAAATTTTTAATGCCATACTTGTGCCCGCCCATCCGTTTGACAGTGGCTCCCTCTCCCCGTTCCAGGTGTCTTATTTCAGGTGCAAGACACATAAAAAATAAATGAGCTCAGAGCTGGAAAAAAGAAAGCCGGGGAAGAGAAAAAACAAAACAAAAACAAAACCAGGCAACGAGGAAAGTACAAAGCGGATCGGTATGCAAAGTAGCGTTAGGCAAGTGGAAAGCCACGGCATGCCGCAATTGTGTGGCAGATGGGGGCACCATCGCACATTTTGTCACCCAGACGCGTAGCTCGCAAACATTTTTTATGGCAAACAAATTTTGTTGCTCTCTCCCTCTTTCGACGCGCCACAAAAACAGAAAACGAGGCAGGGAGTCGCTGCGGAAAAGGAAATGAAAAAGTACTTAATGCGCCAGAAAGCGGAGTGTAAGGCAATTTACACAGCAAAGGGAAAGGGAGTGAAATATGACGGAGTAATGGAATTTGAAACCAAAATATTTTAAATACAACTAACAAACAAACAAAAGTGATTCAATGGAAAGCCCTAGAGGTTTTCGGGCATAACCAAGGTCCATGAATGCTGCGTCTATAAATAGTTCCACAAATTGAGAACCCTCAGCGGCCATTGCCTTACCCTTAGCTCCGGCCTCAATATCGCCCTCGCACCACAGCATTCCCATGGCAACTTTGTGGCTGCGGCGGCGGCGGCTTCCCAAGTCTCACAGCCGCAGCTCAGCCTGGCTCCTTGGGGCACCCACTCCTTGACTTGCTTGACTTGCCGCAAAAGTTGGCGCGTGAGTCAAAAAAATTAAATGTTATATGGAAGATTTGTGTGCTACGTTTGTGCCGCGCGAGAGATGGCTTTAGAGTGGGGCAACGGTGCGTATGAGTGATACGAGGCCTCTCAAATATGCACACAGCGACAGTGCGGTGTAGAGGCGGTGGCGGTGAAAAGTTTAACGGCTGCGTGAAGCGTAAAATACATGTGAAACGAATTCCCATCAAATTGATTGGCCCCCGCCCACAGCGCGGTTGGTATGTTTGAGGGAAGGAGCATAAAAATCTACATTATTAAATTTCATTTTAATAAATTAAATGCAAGAACATTAATATTTGATTAAGCGGAAGTGCGCCAGAGTCGGTAATGTAATTACAAGGAAACCGCTTCAGGTCCCTAATTGGACAAAGGTTTTGGCGTTTACAGGTGAAAGCCGACACATTATTGTGTTCCGAAATGCTTAACGACTTGAATGAAAATATTTCTTTGGATGTTAATGAAGCTGAAATTCGTTTTAGAACGTTGAATATTGAATTAAAGATAAAATACTTGGGAATCACAAGATTCCCCAATGTTACCCATAATTATACATCCGTTCCTATCTGTCTCTCTCTCGCTCTGAGAATATCTCTTAATGCACAGGAAGCAAGCACAAAAACAAAGAAAGAGGGAGAAGGAGAGAAAGGAAGAAGAAAGACCAATCCTTAATCCCCAGTTGTCTTTCCCACTCCGCAAACTCCCCCCAGGGATTCCTATTCGTATTGTTGACTCTGCCGGAAATTAAGCGCACCGGCGGGAGGAAGTCTGCCCTAATGTACTAAAGTGAAATAACGTGTATGCCATATCTTGGAACATGCGGATGACAGTACACAGAGCTACAGATACACCTATACATACACCTGTACATATATATAGAGGTAGGTAGTGATGGTAATGCAAATGCAAATAAGGCTAAAACAATATCAACAAGTCCGGACGAACAAGACCATAAGTGCAGGGCCAAAATGTACCTGACTTTCGGCTTACATTTGTCCCAAATCAGAATTGATTTTCATTTGATCTGGCAGCAACGAAAATACGAATACTGTAGCTCTGAAAAATTGTCTCTTTCGGAAGAAAAACTCTGCCTATGATAACCTTTTGCTGGAGGGGAAAAACTTTCGGGCCGCCGCTATGCCAATCATATATGAACGAAAGCATAATTTTTTCTGTGCGCCGATAAAAACTTTGCCCAGCGACACAGAGTCAGGTCAGGGGAAGGAAGAGAGAAGCGAAGGCACAAAAAAAGAAGCAAATATGAAACGCGTTGTGGAAAAACTGTTTTTGGGTACAAAAAAGGCGACATATAATTGGAAAACTTTCGCCAAAAGACGATGGCGACAAGGCAAAGTGTGAAGAAATATTTAAGTTCGCTCAAGTGGCGTGAACTAAATTGAAAGCAAAAGGAAAGAAAATGGAAAACGCTTAATGGGAAAGGTGGTGGAAAGGGGTAGGGTAGGGTTCGGGGCAGTTACTTGACTATTTATGGAATTATTGAAATGTCAATTACCTTTCAATGGTTAATCAATACCGAAAAGGGGAAAACGAATGGATATTCTTTTGGAGTTCTGCCTATGTACACACTGATATGATATTGTTTCTCGTGTATATATAGGGATAAATGTCGCTGAATGCATAATTCAATTGACTTTTATGGCCGTGCTGTGGGCCCCAATCCCATGATTTACGCCATTGTTTGCCTGTGCATATATTTTCAATTGAATTTTAATTGAAATTATGACAATTCGAAGCGAACCCCTTACTGAATCGTTATGTGCTTTGTTTTGCCAACTCCCGCGCTTTGTTGGCCATCATTTCAGTTGTGGTTTGGTGACAAGGGCATCTACAATGGCCAACCATTTAGCATTTTAGAATATGCATTGTTTGCCCACAATTGCCCCACTCGCCAGGCCCCATGGGATGTTGCCAGCAGGGGGCGAGGCTCCCTCAAAGGGTGGTCACTCACAAGTCAAACACGATTTAAAGGGAGAGAAACCGCTCGGCTAATTGCAAGCACTTGAATTTTCCGGAGAGATGCCTCAAAAGTTCGGCATTTGATGGGAAATTTTCCAGAATTGAAAGTGCCAACAGAATGCTGTTGGTTTTCATTAGAGTTTTCCCTCTGGCATAGTAGTTGTTGTCGTTTCTGCTGTATAAGTAAAGCAAACAAATAAATAAAATTGCTGCCACAACCAGAGCCATGCCAGAAGAGCCCCCATTCCCACATAAATGTGAGGGAGGGGGTTCCATAAATTTTGATATATATGCGAATTTCTCTCCACTGGGGTCTGGGCTTTGTTTTTGTCAACCGAATGGCATTTCCCTGGCTTCATATGTGGCTGCTGCTTTCACAGCAACCTGCCGGCCATTTGCATTTGTTTTTTATCCAAAATTTTCCCTCTTTCTGTCTTTCTCTCAGCTTTAATTAGATTTTTTTCACTGTGCACACGTGAGGGTGCGTGTAAGTCCATTTACATTTATTAACTTCACTTGCCTTTGATGGGGTTTACATAAGTACATATGTATGTAGGTTTGTGCACTTTTGGTTGGTAATTCCACTTAGTGCGGCCTGAAACTGAACTGGAGGGGTAGCTACTAGCTATGCAACACTTTAAGCTTTGTATTCCTGCGGCACATTCATTTCGATGGCATGCACCCTCTGCCCTGACATGCAATTTGCGCGACCAGTCAGCAGTCACTCACTCAGACGATGGAGGTGCCACGAGGAACTTTAATTGCCCGCACACGTTTAGCGGGGTGGAAGGGAAAAAATTACACTCGCCACAAATGTGTTTTCACGCCTCCGGTTGCCTGCCCCCAAGCACCTGCAATGGCTCAACTTTGCCACGAACTTTAGCCACAGCTCGACTTCAGACTGACTTTTGCCGAACCTTGCGTACACGTCCTTGCCACAGCTAGTACCGATTTCGACTGAATGCACTGGGGCACGGACACGGACACGGGCCTGTCTGATTTGTTTGTGCCTCGTGTGGCGGTCGTGAAGCTTCGTGTGGCAGTCTCGGCTCTCCCCTCGACGGCCAGGACTAGGCCAGAGAGAGCCAAAAGCTCTTTTAGTACAAAGAGTAAGCGCCCCCGAATATCGTAAGTCATATCGTAGGCCAAAGAGAGAAGCGGAAAGGAAGGCGCTCTTTGCCGACTGTGTTTGCTTTGGGTTAATCCAATATTTGTTCACTATGAACAGATCTAATGTGCATCATTGATGCATTGCCTGTTCTGTCAAGTCCTATAGATACGAGTGACAGTACTATCGAGGTATAGAATATCAGAAATCATAGTCACAGAGTATTCGGGAATATTTCCAAATTCCACTTTCGACCCACTCAACCCAGCATACACAGACACAGCCATACGCGTGTCCTCCCGTGTACGGTGTGTACGTGTACTTGCTTGTGGCATCCACCAACGCTGCGGTTTCATTTGGCCAACCACAAAATTCTTTTAAAACCAAATAAGAAACAGAGGAAACTAACTTGAGCTTGAGCCAGGAAAAGCCGAGCAGGTCGGAAGAGGCCAGCGGCAGGAAATTGTTAACCTTTGGGGATATCAAACATTTACGATTGCGTGGCAGTGGCAGAGGCAGTGGCAGAGGCAAAAGCAGAAACAGAAACACAGGAACAGGCACAGTAAGGGGCAGAAGCAACATTTAAGTTTTTATCAGCACAAAATAAAGTTTTGGTTTACGGATTGTACACCACTCCCATTCCCTCCATTCCCTCCATTCCGATCCAGATCCCATAGTCCACTGAGAGAAGCAGCCACAAGTGCCCGTGCCCGTGCCCGTGCCCCAGACGAAGAGGGACTTTCCTTGTGCTCTTGATTCTTGTGTACGCAGAGAAGTTTCCTCCTTTTCAATTTTGTGTTTTTCATCCGGAGTACTTTTGAGCAGCTTAAATTTCTGTTTGTTTGTGGTACCGAAGCGGCACCATTAAGTTTCTGGCCTTCAGGTGAGTGCTCGAGTGTTCGCTAGCTGTTCAGCTAATCGCGGATTAGTTTTCAGTCCAGGCCACACACCACACCACACCAATCCGATGAATGGCAAAGCGTTTGGCGCTGGCAAATTTGCTCGGCCCGCCGATCGTTTGCTTAATGCACATACACACCCACACCAGCACCCATACCAGCACCCACACATACACCCACACCTACACCCATGCCTACAGCCACTGATGCACCCATACTCACAGCATAATGAACAAAACGAAGAAGAGCCGTAAGTCCGCTAAGAATTCCGGGCCATCGGACCCCACTGGCCAATCAAACAAAACCAATGCGAACGGTATTGGAAGCAACAATGCCGGGAATCAGAATATAGCTGGAACAGAGCAGGGGGAACAGTCTACCAGCGATGGCGTTCCGTTCATTCTTGTGGATGCAATGCCTTTGACCTACTGTCCCCCGACTGTGGCTGACTTGGACCAAATAGAGGCCAAGCGAATGGCGAAGGTAATAGCGGAGTGTGACCGATTGCTAGACCGCTTGGAGGACACAACGCCACCGCCTGAGCTGGACATGCCAAGCACAATGACCGAGAAAGACGAGGAGTTCTTCCAGGAAATGCAGGAACTGCGCATATTTGCGAAGGAGACGAAGGAACAAGATGGAGAAGAACGTCCTGGCATCAGCAGGCAGGGCACCTTCCACATTGACAGATTAAAGCCGACACTTAACGATCGGAGGCTTGGAGACGAGCCGTCGGTCTCCTCTACAGAATCAATGAGGATTATCAATCATATTGGGGATCAGCTCATGCAGCTGCAGCTCCTAAAGGAGCAGCCGTTGGTGGAGGGAAACGTCTACTGCTTCTTAGTGAGCATTAAGCCAGAAGGTGGGGCATCCAATTGCTTCGTGCGGCAAATCGGATTACCCGTGTCCAGTTTGCAGCCAGAAACGGAGTCCGTCGTGCAGTCAGAAACAGAGTCCATCGTCCAGCCAGAAGAGGAGTTACTCGTGCAGCTAGAAAAGGAGTCCCCCGAGCAGCCAGAAAAGAAACCGCAGTCTGTTAGCTCGACGGCTAGGACAGATGCCTACAGTAGCAATGCGGTCCCAAAATTACGCGATCCTTTGCACACCCAGATGCCGGTCTCCAAAGCTGAGAGACCTCCCCCAGGTCTGACAATTGAGGCGGCATCCGAGGCAAAGACGGACACCATTGCTGCTCCAAAGACCAGTACAACGCGCTGGAGGCAATTAAACAAATCCAGATTTGGATATCTTCCAAAGAAGAACTGAAGCGAACAACTCTCTTAAAATTTAACGGGATCTGGGATAGATATGCGGTTCAATTTCATCATAAACAACAATAAACAAAATAAACATAACAAACAAACATATACGAACATAAACCAACATAAACAAAATAAAAAAAGAACAAAAAGAGATTGAGATTTGATATCCGTTTCTCCGGCCCATAGCTCTGTTCCCAGAATACACTGGGCTATGGCTATGGCTAGGGCTAGCGCTGGGACTGGGGGCTGGGGGCTGGGGACTGAAGACTGAGGGCCTTGTGTAATTGCATAATGGCGTCCAACTCGGCCACGCACTTTCATTGCTCATTTCCGAGGTGCCCTCGAGTGCATGGCTGTAGCTCATTTCGTTCGGTTTCTGCAATTGTGGCAAAAGTGTTTTCAACTTTTCTCTGTCATTCTGCCTGGAGGTCGAATCTGAAGTTCGTCCCCGGTCTGCGGTCTCCGGTCTCCATCTCCATCTCATACGTATATGTCCGAATTCCCTTCCAGTTGTGGTAGATTTCTGAAAATGCCAGCCAAGTGTTCGGCCGCTGCCAGACGGCAGCAGTCGGTGCCTGTCCGTGTCTGCCTCTTGTCATTTGTCGTTGGGCACAAATTGCAAGATTGACTGTTGCTCGAGTGGCACGGTGGCAGGGTTGCAGCTGGGGCAAGAGTTTTCATTAGTTTTAATTAAATCCCAAATAGTGTTTCCATGCTCCTCTCTATGTGTTCTTTGAGGCTTTTTCAATGGGTTGCCCCCACAAAACCGAATTAAAAACACATCAAAATTAATGACAATTCCTTCTGCTCCTGGAGGATTGGCTCCACTGCAGTCGCGCAGATGGGGCGCAGCGGCTACTCCCACTCGAAGTGCGGACATTTGTGCAATTTATGTTGCCTGTTTTGTTTTTGTTTTCTGGCTTGCATGTTGTTAAATAAATTTCATGATTTACTGCCGCCCAAACGGGAAGCGCGAACAACGGAAAAAAGTGACAGTTTCCAGTGGCCGCCACATTGTTTCTACAGAGTTGTCGAGTGGGAGTCCGCGGGGGCGGACTGGTCTGTCGCTACATAAAATTTGCAATTAGATTTGGCAAAAAGGCAGCCACAGCATCCGCGCCTCGTTCCCAATTCTATTCCCCAGGCACTCAAACCCCAAGCCCCCCTCCCTCCTCCAAATATTTAATGCAGAAAGTTTAATCGCAGTGGCTGTGGCAGCTGCAGGGGCAGCTCCATCTCCACCAGAGACAGTCGCGGCGCATTTCCGGCATTTGTTGGTTTTTAGACTGCATTTCCCGGAGCCATGTATAGCAACAGGACATGGTCGGAAGGGTTCGTGCATGGCTGACATCATCAAATTTGATGCTTGGCTTTCAGCCCCGTTCCTGTTCCAGGCTTCAGGGGCTTAATCGGTGGCCTAGTCCGGACAAGGCCTTACAGGATGTGGACGCACTTTCACTGCGGCCACCAGCCTTTGAGCGGACAAGAAATTGAATTAATTTTTGATTAGCCAGTTCTGCCAGTTTCTATATAGTTTCCAACAGCTCCACACAGGCTCATACCTTTACCTAGCACATATACACACATACATTTATACCAACATATATCCCTTTGAGGTCGGAGCTCTCACGGAAAGCGTTGGTTTGATGTTTAGGCCTTTTTTTGGTGACCGCGTTTGAGCGAACTATTTAGGTTGTTACTTGGCTTTCGAGTGTCCTGAAATGTTCTGAAGGTACGCTGAAGAAAATCCTTCTAAGGATGCCATAAGAATCTTTAGGGAAATTCAATCAGGAATTTAAGAGAAGTTTATTTCGATTTTCTTAAAGGGACTTGGAACCAACACAGGGCACTCCCGTGAGTATATAAGTAATATAAATTTACCACACGATTATAGCATACAACAATAATTATGAAATAAATTTGCTCACACACAGCTGCCACGAAATGTAAATGGAAACAAGCTGTAAGAGACGCCACCAAGCGGCACTGAATCCTCGGCCACGCTTACAAATGCATTCTCGACTAGTTGAGCACTTGATCAGCGAGAGTGTACCCCACACTTCCACCATCCATTTCACTAACTCTTTCTTCTCTCTCTCTCTCTCTCTGTCTATGTCTATGTGTATGTGTGGGTGACAGCCAGATTAATAAAATTTATTATCATTGCGATAGTGGCAAAACAAACTGAACGCCGCCCCACACATCCCACAAGTATTTATGTGCCCAGCACTAAAACCAGCAGGGAAAACATATCAAAATGAAGTAAAATTCATTTTACAACATACGAAAGAGGGAGAAGCAGCGTGGGAGTCAAAGAAAGAGATGGACAGAGAGATAGACAGAGAGAGACGAGAGCTCAGGCTCAAATGCAAACTGAAATTGCAAATGCTTTTGGGCTGCCATCGAGTGCTCAGTGCTCAGTGCTCGGAGATCCTCCTCCATCAGGAGACCCTTCCAGAGTTGAAGGCTGAAGGCGATGGCAAAAGCAAAAGCAAAAGCAGCAGGGAAACGGAAGTTCGACGCCCAAGTGGCAGTCGCGATAATAGCGCCCTGCCATGTGCGCTAAAGTATTAGCATATAAACATACACACATGCACACAAACAGAAAGAGAGAGGGTAGCTGAGAGAGAGAGAGAGAGAGAGAAGAGTACTAGCACAAATGCGAGTGTGAACGAAGTAAAACTTTTGACTGCAACGGGCGTCGCTATCAGGAGACACATAAATATCAAAACGCAAGCGGGACTTGAGAACTACACTGTAAGAAAATAGATAAATGTGTGTCAGATTTGAGGAAAATAATATAAGCCACGAGATATTAGAATAGGTAATGGGCCTTTTTCATTGAGACAGCGATATTGAACTACTCTTATCCCTATTTGCCTATTTGTTAAACAAATATCTTAAATTTATTTTTTTAGCATTGATAACTATTTGATGAAACTATGGGAATTATAACTTGAACAACGCCGAAGCACTCCCACAATTACAAACATGTATTAGACCGTGAAGCTTTTACACAGAGAATAAGTGATCATCGCAACAATTAACATACATATATCATATTTTGGTATTTTAATTTCCATAAAAATAGCTTGTAACCAATCGTTTTTTCATATGCTTTACATACATCATTGATCAGTCGCAGCTTAAATGTAAATATACACATTTAATTGGACAATCACTCGCTTCATTAACCATGGGTAACCATGCCGTATCCACGAAGCGAGCAAATATCACCATAGTTTCACTTGTGTTCATGATGAACCCTACGTACATTTACCTGCTTCGGCTCAATGTGTTCCTTTACCTAGTCAGGGGAGTGGGTATCCTTTGAATCGACATTAAAATCCTCTGAATTACTAGCGCATTTCCTAAATTGCTACAAAAATATCAATTGCACTTCATTGGACAAGGAATTCTGCAATTTTGAGTATTGCTATCTAAAGTCGGTGAATCGGACATACAAGTACATGTCGCTAAAAGTGAATTTGTATAAAATTCCCATTAGACAAGTGAAAGTATGATTATAGAGTCAAATTTGAGTATTTTTCAAGTTGTTGTGATCTCTCACCTGTTCTAGGTAAACTTTTCCCTGCTCAAGCGATTCAATGGCTATAAGCCTTTCCTCTACAATATCACCGTGGATGCCTGTAAAATATTAAAATATCCTAAATCGAACCCAGTGTTTGGTTGGTTTCATAGTCTTTTTAGCGCACACTCTAACATGAATCATACCTGCCCCTTCGATGTAAGTATACATGCAACATATTATCTTACTCTGCAAATTTGGTTTCCTCCAGCATGATCTGGTGGTGGATAAGCTGTCTGCCGACTATATTAACAAGCAATTCACGGAAGTTCTCCCATATCCCCATGGCCAATACCTTTTCCACTCCAACTGGTTTGCTAATAACGTAAAACGAGCTTCTGTCAACGTGTACGGTACACTTTCCTAAACTTTGTAAAATAAAAACAACAATATATATCTATTATGGGCACGGGAAAACTTCAAATTGATTGAGAAATTATTCAATCACATATTTATATATGTACACCTGTAAAGATTATCCATTAATTGATCATTTAGTGAGACTGTCGATGATGCTCAGTTGCTCCACATTGTTGTGATCCGATATTTACTTACCCAGTTATATGTAGGTCTGTCATGCCGTTATCGTTCCAATTTATTTGAACAGTCCAAACTTAACAATTAAACTATCATAATAATAATAGGTTCATTAACCACGAAAAAGTTAATAGAGGATTTGAGGCTTATTTAAAATATCGGGCCAAACCCCAACCGATTTTCCTCGGGGATACCGCTTTTTCGTGTCGTAAGAGTTTCCTTCTTTTTTTGAGTGTATGTTACGGGGGTAAGCAGGCGAGTGGCGACTTCCTAGGCAGATATATTGAGTGTAAAAGTGTCACTGCCATGCCCAGTGCCCGTTGTGCTGGGCGCTGCAACAAAGTAGAATTTGAATATTATTGTCACCCACAACCGACACACACACACACAAACACACCACTAGCACACACACACACTGTTACAGAGGGCCGCAGGCACCAACACACGTACACTTGGACACGGAACTGCAACCTGGAGAGCAGCAGCAGGAGCAGCCGCAGGAGCAGCCACTACTGCACTCACTATTTAATACTGTTTGTGAAAAATAATAGCTCGGCTACCCCAGAGAGAGAGAGAGAGAGACAGAGTGAGAGAGAGAGACAGAAAGAGAGCGAGGAAGAGAGGGTTAGAAATAGTGTGGTGGTAAAGAGTCAGAACGAGTACGCCCCTGGCGGTGCCGTAAATTCAAATTAAGTCGCCCAACTTGCTGACAGTTAAAATCTTGGTAACAAAAATGTGCAGAGCCTCGTCGCTGGCACCAGAGAGTGGGGCGACGCAGACCCCCCAAGGAGATCAGATGCGCCCCAGGTGTGTGTGAGTATATGCATATTTGCATCCGTGTGTATCTGTGTGTGTGTGTGTGTGTGTGTGTGTTAGTTAGTAGTTTGTTTTAGCATCGCACGCAGTTGGCTGTGAATTTATTGCCGCAAAATGCAGCACGAACGGTATTCCCCAGAAGTGCAGATGGATTAAGTGTGTCCTCTATGGATGTGCATGGATGTGCGTGGATGTTGGTGTATCCATATGATTGCGTTTCATTTTAATTAAATACTTGGACAAGCAAGCACTCATGATACGCAATCCGACAGACAGGCACAAAATGTCAAGGCCTTCTGCTCGTTTTCACCTTGACAGCCTTCCCCGTCTTCCACGTCTGCCCCGCCTGTGCAGCCCATCGTACCCTCCTTCAATTGGCCGAAGGACCGCCTGCCGCCCCACTTACGTAGCATTTTGGGGCCATCATTGAAATCAATAAACGCTCCGAAAGTGGTACAAAGTGCGATTTTAAAGAACCGGACAGAGAGGGATGCCGAACACTTTTCTTTTCCGGGCAAAGTTGAGAGATTTTCCTTTGCTTGGGAAACTTTCTCAGCTGAGGCGAGACCAAATCAGGAGAAGCTGTGTGCTAAATTATGATGAACAACCGTGTTTTTTCTGCAGGTTTCGTTGATAGTCCCACGGCAATTACTCGATATCAAATAGACTCTTGCATTACATTGCATTGCATTTTCTTCTTCGTTTTTCTCAGCTTTACATTCAATTCCAAGGCTGATTGCACGCTACAGCCGAGTGTTTAATAATAAAATTCAATTTCATTTTATTTTCTCTGTGTCTCGTCTTACTCGGGGCTGCTGGAAATTTGAAGCCAATTAAAAATGCATTCAACGGCAGCGACAGGAAATAAGTGGCAGGCTGGGAGCCTGGGAAGCAGAAACAGAGCTGAGCAGCACCAAGCAGAACAGAACAGAGCAGAGCAGAGCAGAAGAGAGAAATGAAAAGACAAATTGACAGGCGAGCGCCGGAGAAAAATGCGCCGGGGACAGTGACACAGCGGAGGCACAAGACAGCCCAAGGACACCATGGCACCATCCCACCCCACGGCCCACGGCCCCGTGGCCGTATCCGGTCAATGGGGACCTAGGGACTCAGCAGAGATGTCAACGATGATGGGATGGAATTTTTTATATAGAAATAAATATGATTGCCATGATATGTGCAATCAGGCAAATGGCAAATGGCAAATGCAAGGAATCAAATCGAATATTTTAATCAACTTTCGAGGCTAAACCTCAAATACTCCGCTCTGACAAAGGCACAATCCAAACGCTTGAGGCAAGCATTAAAAGGATTGCAGTGCAAACAAAGGCTTGGCGCTTCTGGATGTGGAGGCTTTTAAATCCTGCCCCATCCAGTTTGGAGTGCGAATTTGCCGGAAAAGTGCACAAGAAACGCCACTTTACATGCCAAATCGTAAATATTTTGCCATGAAAACAGCAGCAAGCGACTGCCAGCCCTGGCTCCGAGTGGAGTGAAGTTGTTTCGTTTTTTTTTTTCCATTTATATTTTTTTTTTGTTCCATTCTGCACCTGTAACGGCAACCGTCGCCTCGGGCTGTGGCAGTGGCAGAACGCATCGAGTGTGAATGAAGTGCGCACTCGGTCGCTTTGCGGCGTTTTGCCGGAGTAGGAAATGAAAAACACTGAAATAATACACAGAACAGAAATGCCGCTACAAATGCTGTTTTTTTTTTGTTTTTTTTTAGCGCACTTCCCTATGACACTTGGTGGCCAGCCATGTGGGGCTGGGTGAGAGTGGAGGTGGAGGTGGGACATCTCCCATGCTTGTCGAGCAGGTTTCCTAATGGCAGGCGTCGGAAAACGGCATAGTAATGATGACATGTTAGATGTGCGGACTTGCTGATACCCACTGGGCTGAAGAACAGATGCGTAGGAAATATTTATAAATATATAATTAATATAATTAATTAATTAAATAATTTAATATTAATTAATTAATATAATATAATTAAGCAGCAGCTAAAGATGACTTGGAAGTTACTTATTCTACGAAAGAACAGACCTTTTAGACAAAACCAAATGGCTTACACCATTTCTTCGTCCGCCCTTTCAGCTTCTCCTTTATAAATCGCAAGTGGGAGTATAAGCGCCATAATTCGACCCAACATAGCTGCTTATCTTTCATTGGGTATCAAAAACTCAACCTGCAACTCGTAATTATGAGATGCCATTTTTAGCAGCTAAAAGCTATGCTCTGCTCCTCCTCCTGCTCCTGTTTCTGCTCCTGTCATAATGTTGCTGCTGCTGTTCGCAGTCGAGTGGAGGAAGGTGCAACAAAATATTCAAGGTGGCTGCAACAGCCAAGTTGAGGCAGACTGTCAGTGTGGGTTACATGGGAAGCTTTAATTGCAGCTCCCATAAAAGGTCTGAAGGTGCCCTTTAAGCGGCCTGCCAGTCGATGGGAAAGAAAACCTTGTAAGAGACTGGCTTTTGCTCGTTGAGAAAAGTTTATGTAGAAAATAAACCCGAATGCAGGGCAGTTGAGGCAACAGACTTCACTATTCCGTCTTGGCAGCACAGTTTGCTGCTTTGCTAGTGCTGGATTCCCCAAACACACACACACACACATACCTTGGCTGCCCCAGCTGCCCCATAATCAATTTTGATGCTGCCCAGCAACAGCAACCAGCAACCAGCACAATTATGTAGTGTGGGTGCATGTTGAACATATCCCTTTCAGAGTGGGCCACAACATCTAACTGGGAGGCCGGTCGTGGCTGCCGCTCCGTGGAACAAAGACCACAACCGACTGCCCTCAGCCTGGGGACAGGAAATGCATCTTGGCCTGGCCAGCTGGATGGCCGAGCTCCTTGGCCTGGCCTTCTGGCATGCCGTGGCTTGGCGCTTTTATGTTGTTGTTGTTGCTGTTGCTGCTGTTCATTTTTGACATAAACATTATGATGTATTCGGTTCAGTAATTTTTATTGTATTTTTTCTCATTTTTCTTGGCCTGCCTTCTGCCACTGCCTTTGCCTCTGCCTCTGCCTCTGCCTCTGCCTCAGACTTGTGTTCCATCCTGGGCTTGCCGCGGGCTGGCTCTGTTTACTTGGCCGAAGCTGCCCCTTTGCTCGCTTTAATATAACCAACATTTCCCCAGAGCTTTTGTGATGATTTTGCTTTTATTAAAAATATGCGAGAACCTCCTCACCCTTCCAACGACGCCTCTCCTTCGACTGCTTTGAGTGTAGCGTGCTGCATTGCTTTCGCAGTTGTTTATTATGTGCAGGACTTTCCATTCACAAGAACAGAATTACACATTACTGTGTCCATATATATTTATTTATTGTGTGTTTTTGTGTGTCGTATATGTGCACTTAAAGCACAATAAATATTGCACAATTTGGCCTCGAGCACACACACACATTGTCTGGTTCAGTGGAGACCCAATCCAGAGATGGATGTTTGCTTATTTTCTAATCAAACAAATTTCAATCACTCAAATTTCGTAGCACACTTTTCAGCAACCGCAGAGAGGGGAATGGGGAGTTACAGATTGATCTGCAGTGCATTTGTTATTGTTGTATTTAAGGACTTCTGGGGATTTTAGTTTTATTTCATTTTATTTTTTTTTTCTGGAATTTTTGTTGTCTTTTGTGTGTGTGTGTTTTTTTTTTGGTTTGGTATATTTCCTTGTTGGCTTATTGCGTATGCAAATCCCAAAAGCTTCGGCCAACTTGCTCGGCTTGCTCGTAGATAAGTGCATTTGTCAGTCATTCCATTTGTGTCCTGCCAGGCTCTCCGGAGTGCGAGCAGGAGTGGAGGGTCCTTGTCGTCGTATGGTTTACTCCTGGGTAAAGTACCAATTGTCTTCATTGATTTTACTTCAACACTGTTCCTTCGCTTCCTTTTGGCCCTCCATGTGCTGACTTGTTGATGGCCACCAATCTGATGCAATCTGATGTTTAGCTTCTGGGAAGCTATCCTCAGGATTAGCTCTGCATTCGTTAGGAGAGTATTGTACTGTATCGTATTG